ACTCTTTCCTGCCTATGCAGGGGGTCGGACTCGATGATCTATTGAGGTCCCTTCCAACCCTAACATCTATGAATCTATAGGTGTGCTGGGGGTTCCTCCTTCCCAGGTGGAGAACCTTACATTTATCTTTATTAAATTGCATCCTATTTCTCTCTGACCATTGATCCAACCTGTCCAGGTCAGCCTGAATCTGCTCCCTGCCCTCCAGTGTACTAACTTTGCCCCATAACTTGGTATCATCAGTGAACTTGGAGAGTTCATTGTAAGCTTTGATTTCATATTTTGGCTAAGAAAATTCCTCAGTTGGCTGGACATTGATAAAAATGAATGAAATAACATGTAAGCTCAGGAAAATTCTCATACATTCCTGTAGCATTTTATGCGTTTGTCAGATAGTTGAGTTTTCAGTTTTTTCAAATTACAGCATTAGTTCTGAAGAGCTCAGTTTTTAAGGATACTATAATCATTTTATTTTGAACAGTTGTTACATTATGCCCCTACTCAAGCAAAAAATGTAATAAATGTTATTTACTGAGTAGGTAAATGGAACAGGTCTGAAACTTCTTAGGAACATACTACTCAATGTCTAAGAGAAATTATTTACTTCATGTTATGAAAATATCTTAAAAACTTTCAGCCTTGTATGTTTAAGTAGCCAGCATATCCAATTACACTTAATCCCAGTTTGTGTGTCTGATTTGATTGTTTGTTTGATTAGAGATGTGAGAGATTTGTGATAATCTTCTGCCTGAGTCGGATATGAATTGGGAACATGCATGTAGGGTTAGATAGAGCTCAATGCTCCATATATTATTTTCTATAAGAGAAAAAGGAAAAAATGATGCTAAACAAAATTTGTCCCAAGTTCAGGTCTGTGCTTAAAACATAGTAAGGATACAGGAAGCTCTATTTATTATGTTTGCCTAAAGCATGTTACCCCCAATCATCACTGTTGGTAAAATTTTCAATATATTACATGAATGTAGGACTTTTTCGAAGATATTCCTGTTATAAAGAAATGCTACCTAATAATGTCATTACATGCCAGATTTTTCAGTCGTATGTAGTAGACTTGCATTAATGAATTCAGTGCCACCCTTACCCTATTAGAAAATACTGTGGTGAGATCTGTAGATGCACTTTCAACAAACAGGTGCAGGAAACCACCATAAACGACTACTTGGGAAAATGCCACTTGTGTAATTCAGTATTAATCTGTTATTGAACATGGTGGACTTGTACTTGATTTTATTTTTTAATGCCCAATCTCTGAAGATAACAGATATTAGAGGTATCAAGCAGACTGTTGAAATGTGCATTTTGTTGCCTGTATATGAAAATTTTTGTAGAAGAACAATATTACTGAGTCTTCAAAAAGACAAAAAAATCTGATGTACAGTCAGGAAATAACCACCTAATAATTTTATACGTACCTTTCATGCACATACATACCTTTATTTAACAATTTCTTTGCCTCCATTTTCCTGAGCAGGGACTGGGTCACCCCCCACCCCCACCGCCGGGACCTCCGTAGGCCCCAGGGGAGGTACACCCAGACCTAGGATCAGTGAGGACCTAGTCAGGGAACTTCTGGAGGGACTGGATGTATTTAAATCAGCTGGTCCTGACGATCTCCACCCCAGAGTGCTGAGGGAATTAGCAGAGGTCATTGCGGGACCCCTGGCATGGCTTTACGAGCACTCATGGTGCTCTGGTATGGTGCCAGAGGACTGGAAAAGGGCCAGTGTGGGTCCCGTTTTCAAAAAAGGGAGGAAGGAGGACCCAGGAAACTGTAGGCCAGTTAGTCTTACCTCGGTCCTGGGTAAGGTTTTTGAGAGAATTATCCTGGCGCATGTCTACGAGGGGCCAGCAGGGGAGACTATGCTTAGGGGCAACCAACATGGGTTCACTAGAGGCAGGTCCTGTCAGACCAACCTGGTGGCCTTCTATGACCAGGTCACAAAATCCTTAAGACGTAGGAGTAGCAGTGGACGTAGTCTTTCTGGACTTTAGGAAGGCCTTCAACACTGTCTCCTACCCCATTCTCATTAAAAAAACTAGGAGACTGTGGCGTCGACACCTACATAGTCAAATGGGTCACTAACTGGCTGGAGGGCCGCACCCAGGGAGTGGTGGTGGACGGGTCCTATTTG